CAAATGAGAATTTTTAGGCTTTAAAAGGACTAATAAAACAATAAATAGTAAATGGGCCAAACACTTACAAAGTATTTAACATTCATGCCCCCACCCATTACATATTGTTCGCATAACTTCAAACAGATACCAAAGTCTCTTCGTTTCCAGAGTACTGGTATACCCTTCAAATTTATTTCATATTCGAAGAATTATAAGTTTGATATTATACAACTTGATCATGACTTATCAACATCATCAATATAGCAATAATAATATTATTAATATAAATAATAATAAGTAGTGATGATTATACAATTCTCTTTAGTCATGGTAATTCGTGGGATCTTGGAATATGTGAACCATATGGTGAAGAGTTGTCTCAACGGCTCCACTGTAATGTTGTGATATATGATTATACGGGATATGGGTGTAACATAGGCGAATCAAGTGAATATAATTGTGACTCCGATATAGAAGATGTTTATAATTATTTGATTCTAAAAGGAATCAACCCCCGCAAAATCATATTAATGGGACATTCCCTTGGAGGGGGCGTCTCTCTATCTTTAGCATCCAAACTGTGTCGAAATCAAAACGTCGACTTTCTTCAAAACTTTACTTCGAAAAAAACACAAAATTCTGCTGAAGAGTTTGAAATGGAAGTCGTCGCAAATTCTTCTTCTTCTGACGATAACCAATTATCATTAATCACTGAGTATAAAAAATGTCCACCTGCCGGAGTTGTCATCATTTCATCATTCACAAGCGTTGTCGGTGTTTTGTCGAATACTTTGTCTGACTATGTTTCCTGTGACATGTTTCAAAACATCAAAAAAGTAAAGTCCATTGACGTCCCAATTTTTGTTGTTCATGCGACAAACGACGAGATAATTCCAAAAGACCACGCACTTACACTTTTTAATAATCTTAAAGAAAAGTCAAAGTATAAAGTGCTCTACATTGACGACTGTGATCACAATTCGATTTTGGAAACAAGTGTTTTGTTTGACGAGTTAGCAAAATTCATTACAATGGTAAAGAACAACGTATAATGTATTGTATTATTTGGTATTAATTTACTATATAATTTACTCTAAAAATTAAATATAATAACAAAATTAATAACACGTTTCATTCCATTTCGAGAAGGCTTTTTTGATCCAATACTGTAATGTACTTCGTGATAAATCGCCATACACAGATGGGTGTATCATTTGAAGAAATTTTGTTGCCTTTGATAGACCAAGAATTTTGGATTTAGCTACCGCAAAACACCTCTGTTCATTAGTCCAATACTTCTTTGAAGTCTTATTAATATCACCTTTTGGAAACTTTACAAGTGTTTCATTGGGAGATGGTGTTTTTCGAAAAGCTGAAAATGTTCCAACCAATGGCTTGAATGTAGATATAGTGTACAGGTTGTTCTTGACTGGTTTAAATGCAGAAGTATAACTTGTCATATATAAAAAAACGAGATCAATAAAAGAAAAAAATAATATTTTGAATGTACGGTAAAAGATGCTTCTTTCGTAGTTTTAGTAAAAAATAACAACAATTATTTGTTATTATAACAAAAAAATTCAAAAAATAGATTTTATAAAATATTATGGAATATTCGTTGTATTATTGTGTTTGTTAAAAATATTTTTACTATACTTTACACTATTAACCGATTAGAGTTAATATATGAAATAAACTATCCTTTAAAGATCGATTTTTATTTTTTAAATAATTAAAATAATAATACGAGGTGTTTGACATTGAAATTTTAAATTGACAACAAATACAGAAAAACCTCACAAGAGCGGTACCTTTAAAAGTGGCAGAGATAAGAATTTCTGTTAATTGATCAACAGATAACTAGAGTTTTTGAGTGAATTTAAAATGGTAATGAAATATTATCAGTAAAAATAATGATTTTTTTTGCAAAATAGTCATGAAAAAATATATTTGCCTTTTTTCAGAAAAAAAGTATTTCTATTTTATTATATTTTTATCCCTAAAATCATTATAAAATAAAACAAACCGAATTGAAATAAATAAATGACGTCTCATTATGTCAATGAAGTTGTATCCATTTCATCTAAAAGTTGGAATGAATGTACAAAAGTTGAACATAGTATTTTCGAAGATTATCACGATAAAGAACTTTGTAAGGCATCATAATAAAAACAAAACATGTTTTTATTATGAAAAGGAAGAAGCAGATTTGTCAAAAGAAAGTATTCAACAAAATGAATTACAACAAAAAACTTTATTGATGAAAAAATATGATAGGTCAAAATCTTAGCAATTGGCTGTATTATTGTGTTATTTATAAGCTTCAAGAGGGGGAAACAAAGACAATCAAAAAATAAAGAAATAGAAAAAACAACATTAAACAAAAAATGTACAAATTACAATACAATTTATGTAATCGATGTTCGTTTTTTTCAAATACTAAGAAAGTGTTACTACATTTAAAGTTCATAATAAAAAAAATGTCGGAAACTTGTTTTTCAAAATAAAGTAAAATTCTAAAAATACCGAATCGGAAAGAATCAACAAAAATGAAATACATAATGTAGTAGCAAATTATATATTCGAGGAAA